ATATATAACATTTATATATATATGAAATTCGTATTCAAATTTGAATTTAAAGTATGCCATGTGGAATTACCTTGTGATGGTAATTAAATATTTGATTAATCTATTATGGAATATATTAATTCAAATTCCATAATAGATTAGGGTTTTAGATTTGCAATATTTAAGTGCAACTAAAATAAAAATCAAATAACACTATTATTCTATAAACCCTAGCCGTCCACGCACTCTCTCTCTCTCTCTCTCTCACTCTCTTGGGCCGTGGTCACCCATTGTTGTGGAGGAGAATCTTAAACCTTGTAGTTTTGGCTAGCACTCCGAATCGTTGGGTGATCATCATCTTATCTTTGTGTGGAAGCCAAGAGTTCACTCTTGTCTTAGAGTAGCGATTTGCATCAAAGAAAGAGCCTCCAAAAGCTAGTATGCAACCTAGAACGTTTTATTTAATATCGGTTTATTTGCTAATAACGTAAAAATTGTGTATAAGGATCTAAGGCTTATGGTTGTTGTTGGGGATCTTTTAATTTTCGCTCCATAAAACCCCATACAACAATTAATAGGTACATGGTTGTGAATAACCAACAATTCGAAATGAACAAGTCAAAAATAGGATAATAGATAAAAAGCCTATAATCAGAGACACCCAATCGATCTTGAAGGAATTATACAAGATGTGGACATGACTACAAATAGTTAGCATAAAGTGGATTAGAAAATCCACAATGGGGTTAGGCAAGAGGTTTTTAAAGAGATTCGACGAGAAACCCCCAAGCCTGAATCCTCTGTTATGTATTGCATTGGTGTGACTTTTTCTTTGAGTATGGATTACAAAGAGTCACTCTCTCTTCCTAATCAAATGCGTATGTAGAGTAAGGATGACCCCTTTGCCCTTGGGGGCTTACATGGATGAGAGAGAGAGAGAGAGAGAGAGAGAGAGAGAGAGAGTCCAATCCTCCCTTGCTCGGGTGCAAAACTAGCTTATATGGGCTATAACAGTGGCAAACTTGTAATTGAAGTCTAACTTGTTGCCAACCTTTAACTAGTGGACAATACTTAACTTGAGAGCAACATTTAACTTGCAAGTAGGTGGTCAGCGAGGTGACTTCTTAGGCTGTTTTCATGTTTTCCTTATGGCAATGGCTTCCCCCTTGTACTTCTCTCGAATAGTGGTCAGGAATTGGTGATTATAGAGGGATTTACATGCATAGTCCCCACTAATCTTGATATGAGTAAGCCTTTGACCCATACTTAAGCCAGTGTAATCATTATATATGGTAGGGTAATTATTAGGCCAGAGCAATTATGTCTTAAATTGATGAGCTTATTGGTTAAGTCACTTGTCATGGGAGTGACTGATGTGTGCAACTACAAACATGTAATGTATAGACATGCACTAGTCGCACAATAATAAAGTGATAAGTAGAGTATCGTTCCCACGAAGATATGTTACTAAGTACCGATTTCTCTAGTTTAAGTCCTATTGAAGCACAAATAAATTAGATTGATGGAAATTACAACTAATACAAATTAACAATATAATTAATGATAATGAATTAAAGCAAAACCAACACTTAACATTAACATGCTAAAATGCTAGGGTGTTGATATCACCTAGATACGCTAACCCAAATCATATAATCTATTACCCAAGTTCTAATTCCTTGATTGAAAATCGAATTCCCTAGTTGTAAAATATACCTTCTCAGGCTATATTTTTCCTACTTATCCCTATTAAGCTTCCGCATCCAACAAAATGAAAATTAATAGCTCAAAGTCTTTTAACGTTATGGATTCTATCTAGATTTTATAGATCGCTAAACCTATCTCTAGCATTTGCTTAATCTATGGTATTTATCCCAGAGGCACAATCACAAATCACTTCTCAGTCTCATTGTGAACAACACACATTTGAATGGTGATCAAGCTCCAAAAGTCATTAAGCAAAGAGATAAACACTCAATCATGAAATTAAAACTCAAAGTAAATTAATTCATATATTTGAATCATTGTACAAGGTTACATCAAACCTAGCTAACAACTCAGTTCATACTTAAAAACGAAATAAAATACAAAACAAACTGAATCAAGATTCATCATTGAAAACAGCAAAAGATGGAGAAATCTTCTCTAATTTGAAGCCCAAATCTTCAATAATCTTCTCCTTCCATGAGCTGCCTCCCAATGACAACCAAGACCTTTCTCTTCCTTTTCGCTCTAATTTATACCTCTCTCACTTAAGGAGGAGCCCTAGCAACCAAAGGCCGCGTTTTATTTTTTACATTTGATGCAGGTTTCGCCTCGGCGAAGCTTTTTCCTTGCCGCGACGAGAATCTTTCGGGCCAAATTTGAGCATGATAGAGTCTGAATATGGAAAAGTGTTGAACATATGAATTTGTATCCCTTTCAATATATTCTACTCGTTCAAGAATGCACAATCCGAGTCCATAGCTCAAGTTGTGGCAGAAATACTGAAGCATGTCCAAGATGTTTTTCTTCAGTTCCCAGCGTACTTTCACGACTTCAAGCCAAGTTTTCACCCTTGTCCAGTCAAATAGAAAAACCCAAAACATGAAAGTTGTAGCTCTTCTTCTTAGCTTTCCAAAGCTTCTAAATTCAGGTCATTCCGAGTTTCAAACTCAGTTACACAATTACGCTCAAAACTGTCATTTATGCTCAAAATCATAGTTTAGGCCTGCAAACAAATAATAAGCTTAGGTAGCAATTTTGGCCCAAATGATGAAAAGTATCATAAATCCATCAAATTTAATGCAAAATCATAGAGTAAATAGGATTATCAGTGACACGTGGGGTGATCCTAGTCACTCGTTTTCAGCTTGGTTAAGGGATAAATGCCACGAATTTGACGGCCGGAGATCATGCACAAAAGATATGATGCACAATTGATAGCTTGCTTCCTCAAGTTTTTGTATCTTGAGAATGAAGGGGAGGAGGGTATTAAATAACTCACAATTGAAAAATAACATTTAATACATTTTGTTTGAGAGTTAGAAAGTAAGGAGAAAAGTATGAAGTTGTGCAGCTTGAGGTTTAAAGAGTCCAGTAGCGAGTTATAAGTTTAGGGATATATTTGTACTAAAATGTAATATCCCGGGGTGCTTGTATATTATATCATATTTTCATAAAACCAGACCGGGCAGCTTCGGAAATTCCTTTTGGTTTTGAGCAACATTTTGGTTTTGGAATCTATTTCTTAGTTTGAGATAATAGTAGGTAGATAGTCGACTCAAGCGTCCATACCAACACCAAGGACCAGGTCAAAGTTTTACGGAAAAAAATTATTTTTTTATAAATTCATAATTTATAATAAATTTTCTAATTATATTAAAAATATCTCGTGCTCATAATAATAATTACAATTCTAAAATCTCTAATTTTCCCAAAAAAAAAAATATAATATTTAGTATACACTCTCTTCTCTTATTTCTACACAATTCTTCTTTTTTTTTTTTAAAATAAACTTTGTTTATCTTCTTTATTTGTTAATGTTGTCCTCGTTTTATAAGATTATAATTTTTGTATGAAATTTAAAACTTTTTTCCACCCTCCCGAAAATAAATTTTGTTTCGTCCTCACAACCTACAAAATCCATCTAGTACACTGCAGTAAAATAAAATAGTTATATTTTAACCACAGTACTGTTAGTTAGAACAACCTCACTGCAGTAGCTACGCAGTAATCAAATTCAAAAGGATTGTATAAAACTAAGAAGAAGAAAAACTACATTTAACAAGTAACCCACAAGAAAAATATAATTCAAAATCAAAAGGAAGGTAAAATTAAGTTTAAGTTCAGACTTCTATATCCTAGTGAATGTAAACCAACAGGTGACACACAGAGTTTTGTTTTTGTTTTTTTTTTTTTTTTTTTTTTTTTTGTTTTTTTTCTTGGTTAAGATTGAGTTGTCTTTACAAAGGTCAATATTAATTTGATATGTACTATAATTAAATAAAAATGTTAGGTTTACAATCTTCTCTCGCACAACCTCCTCTCATACCCCTCGATATTAGCTCGTCATTGAATGAAACCCATTTTGCGAACTGATTAATGACAATTGTCATGTCGAGGTTGTGAGAGAAAATTATAAGATTGAATTATGACCTAACATTACTCTAAATTAAGTAGCCTATATTACGCTTTTCTCTATACACATTGTTGTTATAATATTGTATAAAATTTGAGTGACGACAAGTTTGAAATGTTTTGTGTGCGTCTGTGAACACATAATTTGGCTTGACAGAAGCATACATGCATCTGATGGAAAACACAAATTAGATGATAATACATTTGTGCTATTGCCATATTTTAGTTTGTTGAATCAGTTTTGACTTGTTACACTTGAAACTTGTGCTTCCAAATTTAAAACGTCTCTAGAATTTTTGGAATGAAGTAAATATTTACTTAATCCTCTCAACATAGTTCTCATATATTTATCCCTAACTAAGTGCTTTTAATAATGATAAATATACAGAAACCAAATTTAATATCAATATAGTACATTATCACATCAATTAACATAAGGGAGTTGGATATGGGTTGTGCGTGCAGTAAAGACCACTTAAGGAAGATATTATAACAGTAACAGATTTCTGGTTTCGTAGTTCTTCCCTTATAATAAACGTTTTTATATACGTAATGAACCCATAATTATTCTTGAAAGATACTCAACTTTCTCATGTCTCAATGTCTTACCATTTTCATTCTCCAATTTACCAAAGCAAAATTAAGAATATATAGAGGGAAGCCATTGTTTTCTAAATAAAGTTATCCGATTAAACACTGAGAATAACAACATTTCCCATATGTAGATTTCTAGATCAAAGAAGGAACTAATAAGATATAATAATTGTAATAATTTGCGTTCATCTAATCTTATCATACGAGCCAGAGTGAATAATCTCTGTACAATTAACCAACTATAGATAACAGAGTAGTAGAAGCAAAAGCTTAAAATTAAACATAAGTAAATATAAAGGAATGCATTTTCAAAGCCAAAGCGCACCCGCGTCCTTGAGGAGTGGGACCAAAGTTCCATTGATGTGACAAGCCATGAGAGTTTCGATTCCACCAAGGAGTTTCCCACCAACAAAGACGGCTGGGACAGGCTTATGCTGGCCGTCCGATGCCAGCTTAAAAAGAAGGGAATGAATCTCTTGCCCGGCTGCGTGGTGATCCAGCTCCACAATAGTCGGGCCAACTCCAAGGCCGAAGAGAAGACGCTTAGCCACAGTGCACATGCAACATCCACTCATACTGAACAACACCACCGCGTTACTGGATGCCAGATCACTCACTATCTCGTACGTCTTTTCTTCAGAGTTGAATTTGGAGATTGGGATAGCGGACTTGTTTGCATTTGCGACCTCCATTTTTTATAAGATGAACAAGGTGAAACAGAAGAGTTGATATGAAATGACTGAGACGAAGAAGAGGAATATGATGATATTATATATGTATATATCAGTGTCTGTCACGCCAGTCAAAGAGTAGAGAGGTGGGGACCCATTGAGGGGGCAGTGCCCTAAGAAATCCCAACAGAAAAGGAGACTCATACAGAGAGACCCTTAATAAGGGAAGAATCGCATGGGATTTGGGTAACTGTTGTATGTAAATATTGCATGCGTGAGCATCTGTACCATGCAGAGAGGTGGTTATCATGACTAAAGGAAACGAAACCGACAAGCCGACAAGGAACGACTGAGACGCCGTCGTTTGACGCTCAGTCTCAGTCTACCGCTTGCTTTCGTTACGGGGTCAGGTGAGAGGACAGTGACAGGCCGTCAGATTATGCTTTCTTTTAACCTCATCCCTAGGATCCGACAACAATATTTTTATTTAATTTTACCTATTTGTTTTTTTCTTCTTAGTGAAATATCCCGCCAGATTCATTTCACTCTCCTGTTTTACAAGATTACCACCTTGCCCATGCTATTCTTTTTGTGTAAGTCAGAGCACACCACATCCAAGAGGTTGAACTTACGCACATGGAATTCTCTTCAGCTTTATCTATGTTTACTGCTCCCATAAATACTAGTTTATCTAGATCTTCTTCTAAGGTAGACAGTTTGTATGAAATATCTTATATCTCAGAAAATCAAAAAATCCAAGACACTATCCCTCCCATTGTAAATCCTTATACAGCCTTTTCCAAGTCCTCGTCTTCTTTGTCTAAAACATTTAAAACTCTTGTCAGACCTTCCAGAAAGCCAGTCAAAGAGTATGTTCAGACTAGTACTTTTGACAAGTGTCAAATTCCAGCCACAACCCAAGAACAATATGTTACTTTGGAAATCCCTCAAGAATCCATTACTTAATGGATATTTAGCAAATATAAGTATTTTTTTAATAAATTTTAGACCCATTAACTGAATTAATTTCGTTAATACCGCCTGAAAAAGTTTCAAAAGTAACAAAAACACCCCCACCCACCAAACTTCCCAGATTCTGGCACCACCGACGGCTACAAACGACCGAAAATGGCCGATAATTCATAGATGTGACATTTTTCGGCCAAATCCACTATGGATTTGGCCGAAAAAGGCCACATCGGGCTGTCATCGACTTTCAAATGAAATGGCTGATGTTGACTTTCAAATGAAATGGCTGACGTTGACGGTCAACGACGGCCAAATCTTGGGCATCGTTGACCGAAAACGACGGCCATATCTTTGGCCATCGTAGACGGCCAAATGTCGCATTTTTCGTCCGTCGACGGCCAGATATGGCCGTGATCTGGCCTTTTCCGGCCATATCCGTGGTCTATGTGGCCAAAAAAGGCCATATTGACGCCCTATCAGCCTGATCCGGCCACAATGCGTCATAATGCCCTTTCACAATAGGTTTTCGATGGTGGTAGCCGGGATCTGGGAAGTTTGGGTAGGTGGGGGTGTATTTGTCAAATTTTTAAATCTTTCATTGGTCGATTAAGCGATCGTAATAAAAGGAACTTCGTTTACACACTTAGGCGATTCTTTACTTTTTCAGTTGGTCGATTAAGCGATCGTGGATCGCTTAAGCGATCATGTGATTGGCAGAATCAAATTTGCCTAGGTGCATGATGGCTTAAGCGATTCTTCTCTTTTTGTCTTGGTCGATTAGGTGATCGTAAATAGCTTAAGCGATCGCGCACCTGGGCAGAATCAAATCTTTCCAAGTGCACGATCGATATCGCTTAAGCGATCTTGTCTTTTTGTCTTGGTCGATTAAGCGAACGTGGATCGCTTGGGCAATCGTACCCCTAGGCAGAATCATCTGCCCAGTTACACGATCGCTTAAGCAATCCTAGATATCGCTTAAGCAATTCTTGTCTTTTTGTGTTGGTCGATTAAGCGATCATAGATCGCTTAAGCGATCGTACACGTGGGCAGAATCATCTTCCCAGGTGGACGATCGCTTAAGCAATCCGTGATATCGCTTAAGCAATCCTATTTGAAAAACTCTTAGTCGCTTAAGCGATATACTTAGTCGCTTAAGCGATCATTGGCGATATATACTTTTCCTGCTTTTCTCCTGAATTTTGACAAACTAAAATTACCAACACGTATTAATTCCATACTTTCTCCTCAATTTGACAACCTAATTCAATCCAAACTAAAATCAACAACAAATATTTAGGCCATGTAACAAGAAATATAAAATTTATAACATCAATAATTGAAAACAATAACTCATCAACGGTTGGCCTTGGAACTCCCTGAATTCATCCTTCTTTGAACCTAATTTCTGGATGTGCATGTGATTGTTTTGGCAACTACTTCTCTTGTGGCCAGGTTGCTTGCAAATTGAGCACTTATTATCTTCCACGGAACTCAAAGGCTGAGAATACGCTTAACTCTTTTTCTCCTTTTGCTGTCTTCTTGAATGGGGGTAGATGATAATGTTAGCCACCTCTGGCGGCACTACCCATTCCTCTTCTGGAGGCAACGAATATATCGTTTCGAATAAGTAGCATGTAATGATCTGTCATATAGAGAGGGGAGCAAAGTTCCTTGTAAATTTTTGAACCAAAATCCGGCTTCCGTTGGTGTTTCAGTGCTGCTAGTGCATAAGGACAAGGTAAACGTTGAATGTCAAACACTTTACAGGTAAGTTTTTCTAACAAGGTTAACTAGAGCATCCGGACCATAGCCGCGCACAGTGAAACTTGAGCATTAAGAGGATAGGCAAACAGTGCATTGACAGTTCCATAGGTTTCGCAATAATTTTTTAGCTGACGGAACAAAGGTTGTAGTAAAATTATCTGACTCCGTACGACGCTCATGGAACCACCGCGACAGTGTCCTTTGGATTGCATCAAAAAGTGCAACTATTGGAAACTCTCTTTCTATTAAAACTCGAAATTATGGACCAGCTATGTTCGTGGTCATGACATCAAACCTTCTTCCAGGAAAGTAAGCTCTACTCCATCGCTCGAAACAACAATCATGCTCAAGATACTTAGCAACTCTATCATCCTTGATTCGGATTTGCTGGAACTGCTCCTCGAACGCATCAACCCGATAAGCTTTTGTTGCCATGTAGTATGTTGAAGGAGGCCAGCACATTTAAACTTTTGTTTATGTTCTCACCAAGGTGCCTCATACAAAATCCGTGATGTGCTTGACGGTAAATAGTGGTAATCCCCTTCTTTATAGAGTTGTGCCTATCGGATATATGCACAACTTGTCCGTGTCAGGCCCTATCGTACGTAACTGCTAAAAAAAACCAAGTCTACGACTCATTATTCTCAAAGTCAACCACACACCATGCAACAGGATATGTGTGATTCTCGTGTCTATGCAGTGGCCACCAACAATGTACCTCCAACTTTCCCATTAGAAAGCAACCATCAACAGCCAAAACCTTTCTATGTTTACAAAACCCCTTATAGCAGAACCGTAAGCAACAAAAAAAATTTAAACATCATATTCCTGTCCCACTTCAAAGCCGTCTTGCTACCTTGGTTTGTCAACTCAAGCATATAACGGTACGCTTCTAATACTGTCTACCCGTGCTCCGGCGTGCCCCTAACAAAATCTTGTGCATGTTGTCTCCCTTTCCAGCACTTCCAGTAACTAACAGCACATCCCAACTCTATGCGCACAAGTCTCTGAATGTCTTTAGGAGATGGACCTTTCCCTTCAACGAACCGACTTTTGACAAATTGTCCAATAACATCAGCGGACGCTGTTGATGCTCACCTGAAATATGTCCCAAACCACAAGTGTGCTCACAGGTATATGTGCTAAGCATAAAATTTTCCGACTCTGCCAAGCTTCTACAATAAATCCGCCACTTGCACTTTCGGTCACGACATGCAACCGTCACAGCCAATGAATTTGACTTTTTGGTGATGAACTCAAAATTACCTCTCACGGCAACAAGTTTTAGTTCCTCACACTTCCTCTTTGTTGTCAATAAAACCTATGTGCAACTCCGATCCATCCGTAAAAACATAAGCTGATTCACTTTACCTCCAATTGCCTCTCTGAACCTGCATAAACGACCATGGTGTTCTCTTCCTCACAATCTACGCCTTCTGCATAATCTGTATTAAAGGAATCTCTAGATTTGTGGAACATCTCGGGGTCCTCTTCCTCAACTTTCATTCTGCCCCCCATCACCAACCTCTTCTACAATGTCCTCCACCACCCAATTGACCGTCTACTCTTGATTTTTCAAATACAAATCATGGCCTCGTAGTTCAAATTAAAACCAGGAAAATCTTCGCCTACTTCCTCGTTATCCCCTTCCTTTAAACCAACTTTGAACGGTTTTTCTACAAGAGAAACCCTTAAAATCGGCCTGAACCATTATCGGCCACATCAATCATATATAACTTCACACTTTCATCCGACTTTAATATAACAGGAGGTACCTTATAATTTTCAGGAACTCTGCTTAAAAGATACTTCACAATATACACTACGCGAGCAACTCAAATACCTCTTTAATTATTTCATCAAAACTAACCTCTGTGCTCACAGAAATTGGTATAGCTTCTTTGCTCTTCCCAATCCACTGCCAGCTACGTGCTTCCTCCACCCACTCACCAAAATATTCAACACCCAAATAACTTGTCCCATGTGTAACAATAGCCAACTAACTGTAAGAAGAAAAAAAAATTCTTAAATGCTGTACTAAGGGTTCAAATATTTAAAAGAATTGCACGATGCTTATATGGTCTGCTGTATCGCTTAAGCGATCTTATGCCATTTACTGATCGCTTAAGCGATCGCTCATATACACCAGACTTTACACAGATCGCTTAAGCGATCTATCTGCTGCATTGCCAGACACCGATCGCTTAGCGATCATCATACAGAACACATTTTCAGTACATCATACCCAGAACACATTTTCAGTCATCTCCACCTACAATCGATTCCAT